CTCTCAGACTGAAGAAGTCTCTTGGAGGAGAGACGAAACGTTTCATTAGAGAAGAACCCGTCCAGAAGACCTATACAATTTTTTTTCTTTTTTATTTTCAGACTGTTCTATCCAACTAAATTGTGCAGTAAAAAAAAATTAGTTTTTCACGGGAGTCACCCGTGGGCCACATCTAGCCCGCGGGCCTTGAGTTTGACACGTGGTTTAAACAGTTGGAGCATGGTCAGTGTATCTTTTGGTCATTGGATTTTCATTTTCGAAACGGGTATTAAAAAACAAGAAAGGAGTGGTTATTTGATTTTTGTTGTAAAATATAGAAATTAAAATTAAAATACAAAGCGTTTTTCATTCTTTGTGTCAAAAACGGATGAACAAAATTTTTTAAATGTTTGAGTTTCTTTTTTCTGTTTCAGATAGCAAAAAAGAAAATTACTTTAAAACAGAAATGAAAACAAGCCTTGTTTGTTCATATTCCATGACAGTTGTGGCAACTTACTGTATCCCTACAATAAACTGTTTTTCACCTGAAGGGGTGCATGCAATATCAAAGTTATTTAATGAACATACCATCAAATAGATACAGATGGTTACCTCATATATAGACTAAATCAAAACACTTTCCAGTTCTGCGTCTGACATAAATCTTTTTCTCCTCAGATCATGCCGAGCACAAAATCTTCTGACGCTCATTGTAGGACACCTATCTGCTGCAACAAAAACAAAGTCAACATAGATGTTGACTTTGGTATTTGGTATCAAAAATATTTGCCACGTATTTATTTGGTAACAGATCGATATCAAGTCGTAGTACTGCCCACCCCTCACTTAAAGGAACACTTGGAGGACGTGAACTGATAGAAAAAAGCACAGATTTTGTCAAAACTCAGGAGGGAAAAAACATTCTGCTCACAGAACAACAATCGTCCAACACAGAAATGGAATGAAATTTGTCTTGTTTTGCTTTTTATTGAGAGAAATGGAGGTGAGGTGGAGGCAGTAGCCAACATGTATTCAGTAAAAGAGACTTATTTGGCCAAAAGCCACATGAAGTATCTCTGCAAGGCCTTTGGTCACAGAGCGACAGTCATCATACAACTCATTTATGGACGTACTTCTCTTTGTTTCAGCCTTTTATTCACAGAAATTAGTGTTTCATGCAGAGCTGCCAGGCGAGCGCCGCTTATGGTGGGGGAATAGA